ATGAAATTCGGAGATGCATTCAGATTTTATCTAGGAGAACAAAGAACAATCCTGTTATTATTGGTGAACCTGGTGTGGGAAAAACTGCAATCGCTGAAGGGTATGTTCTTATCCTAGGAATTCTCAGTCTCTTCGTCTGTTGAACATCAAAATGAGTTGCAGTTGGCACATCTCACTTCTATTGCTTTGAGTGATTTATTGCTCATGCTATCTTTGGATACATCTTGCTGAACTGATTTGCTTGTGCAAACAGCTTATGCATGTAGTTTTGAAGTTATATTTGTTATTCAAGTAGCTGCAGTTTTGCTGCCAGTATAGTTTTTTAATTATCATTCTCATTTCTAACATGAGGTTAAGCTAAGAGAGGGCTTCTTAATTCTTCAGATCAGGTTCACATAAATACTTAGTAATGTACCTTTTTTTCTCATCTCGTGAAGCCTTAGGCTGCATTGGTTGACTGCAATGATATTTACTAGAACCAGTTTTACCTGTCTTAGATGGGTTGCTCGTTTCCGTACCATTGTTTTTCATTTTTGTGTCCAAATTCTGACATCTAAACAAACTTTGTTGTATATTCATTTTCAGTCTGGCCCAAAGGATAGTGCGTGGCGATGTGCCCGAACCACTAATGAACAGGAAGGTACCTCTCTATTGTCGTCATTCTTCAAACATCTTTAATTTGTTGCCCGAGCAAAAATTATGTATATGCTTGTAGTGATTATTTTCTGTCTCTGTAGCTTTAGCTTCTCCCCTCATTGTTAGGATGATGATTTTCATAAGAATGGTACAATATAAAACTCAAACAAGAGATCTAGAATTTTTTCGTCAGAATTGTATTTGTTGAATTAGAATTCCCTTGTTCACATGGATCTGAGTATTTCGATATCTATATGGGATCTGCAGCTAATATCATTGGATATGGGTTCACTGGTAGCCGGTGCCAAGTTTAGAGGAGATTTTGAAGACAGGTTGAAAGCTGTTCTGAAGGAAGTTACTTCGTCAAATGGACAGATCATTCTATTCATTGATGAGATCCATACCGTGGTTGGTGCTGGTGAGTCGGTCCCCTTCTGCTTGTTCATTTCGACTGTTGGAGTTGTTGCATAGACCATACTGGAAATTAGTTGAGGCAAGTGGAATTATTGAAGGGTGTCTTTCAGTTCCATGCATGCCACAGCTGATCCACTTCTTAATGATCTTGAAATAGGCGCTACATCTGGAGCCATGGATGCTGGCAACTTACTGAAGCCGATGCTCGGTCGAGGTGAGCTCAGATGTATAGGAGCAACTACATTGAATGAGTACAGGAAGTACGTTGAGAAGGATCCTGCACTGGAACGTAGATTTCAGCAGGTATTTTGTCCTCAGCCGTCCGTTGAAGATGCAATATCTATTCTACGCGGGCTGCGTGAGCGCTATGAGCTGCACCATGGTGTGAAGATTTCAGATAGTGCACTTGTGTCAGCTGCAGTTCTAGCTGACAGATATATTACCGAGCGTTTTCTGCCAGACAAAGGTGAGTAATAGTACTTTTCCTCACTTGAATATTGAAAAAGTGGTCAGTAGTTGCAACCTAACCCGTGATCAAGATTTTAGTTACATGTATCACAAATCATACCGCAAATGCTATGTGGTGCCATAGGAGAACTGTAACTACCTTTTACTTGGATGTGTATCTGCCGGATTTTTCAGTCTGATTTACTACGTTGCATTCATCAATGTCCAATCGGCTTGTTACTAGCTTGCCACCTGTAAAAGAAGCAACAAGTGCAGGTCCTTACATTTTAGGTACCCTATAAGTCATTGCCTTTGGACAGAAAGAGAACTCCTTAGTTTAGCGAGGAGGACAGAGAGACTTCTTGCACTTGCTTGCCATATACTATTTATCCTTAGCCCATGCGAACGTGATTTACAATGAGTTTAAATGTTATAGTATAATCCAACTTCAGAGTAAATGGAATACTCTATTAGGAGTAAATTATCTTTGCTCTATTTACTGGGTATAATTAGCTGCTCTAGTTTAATATTACCTGAAGCCGAAAAGTTTTTGTTACTTCTCTGACTTCATCTTTCTGAACAGCCATCGACCTCGTTGATGAGGCAGCTGCAAAGCTGAAAATGGAGATAACTTCTAAGCCTACAGAGTTGGATGAGGTGGACCGAGCTGTGCTGAAGCTGGAGATGGAGAAGCTATCTGTGAAAAACGACACTGATAAGGCATCCAAAGAAAGACTGAACAAGCTCGAGAATGATCTCAAAACACTGAAACAAAAGCAGAAAGAACTTAATGAACAATGGGACAGTGAGAAAGCTCTCATGAACAAAATTCGGTCAGTCAAAGAAGAGGTTAGTTTTCTTTTCCCTTTTCTGTTGCTTATAAGCAAATTTGCACTGCATTGTAGCTTATATTTTGTTTACTTGTCCAACATACCATTAGATTGATAGGGTCAACCTGGAAATGGAAGCTGCCGAACGTGACTATGACCTGAATCGCGCTGCAGAACTCAAGTACGGAACACTGATGTCCCTTCAACGCCAGCTCGAGGAAGCTGAGAAAAACCTGGCCGACTTCAGGAAGTCCGGAAGCTCTCTGCTTCGTGAAGAGGTTACCGATATTGATATTGCGGAGATTGTAAGCAAATGGACTGGAATACCCCTATCAAACCTCCAACAATCCGAAAGAGAGAAGTTGGTCTGCCTAGAAGAGGTACTTCACAAGAGGGTGATCGGTCAGGACATGGCGGTGAAATCAGTAGCTGATGCAATAAGACGATCTAGGGCTGGTTTATCGGATCCAAATCGGCCCATCGCCAGCTTCATGTTCATGGGACCTACTGGGGTTGGCAAAACTGAGCTTGCGAAAGCCCTTGCTGGCTACCTCTTCAACACAGAGAATGCACTCGTGAGAATCGATATGTCTGAGTACATGGAGAAGCATGCTGTGTCACGATTGGTCGGGGCCCCACCTGGTTATGTCGGTTATGAAGAGGGCGGCCAGCTTACTGAAGTTGTTCGTCGGAGGCCATATTCAGTGGTGCTCTTCGACGAAATCGAGAAGGCTCACCATGATGTGTTCAACATCTTGTTGCAGTTGTTGGATGACGGAAGGATAACAGATTCTCAAGGAAGGACCGTTAGTTTCACCAACTGCGTCGTGATCATGACTTCAAACCTTGGTTCTCACTTAATACTTGACACTCTTCGCAATACAAGAGATGGCAAGGATGTAATCTACGATATCATGAAGCAGCAAGTCGTGGAGCTCGCGAGGCAGACCTTCCGTCCGGAGTTTATGAACAGGATCGATGAGTATATCGTCTTCCAACCTCTAGACTCTACAGAGATCAGTAAAATCGTCGAGATACAGGTAAAACCCCGATACTTGCCGTGTCTGTTTGTTTCAGTTTCCAAGTCTAAAACAAACAGTATATATACTCCATAGAATCCATTTATGCAATAGTCTCACACAAGAGTTGCTAAGCTGAAGCATGTTGAATTTGTTCATGTGTTATGTATAGCTGAACCGGGTGAGAGAGAGGTTGAAGCAGAGGAAGATCGAAGTTCAGTACACGAAGGAAGCTGTCGATCTCTTGGCGACATTGGGATTCGATCCCAACTTTGGGGCGAGACCAGTTAAGCGGGTGATACAGCAGCTGGTCGAGAATGAAATTGCAATGGGGGTATTGAGAGGGGACTTCAAAGAGGAAGATGCTGTCATTGTCGACTCGGATCCTTCTTCCGATCTCCCGCCGCAGAAGAAGCTGATTGTAAGGAAAGTGGAGAGCAGCCCGCAAATGGAAGTCCTGGTAGCCAATGACTAGTTTAGTTATGTTCTCCCTGCTAGTGAATCTTGTATATTATCATAATCGCCATAAGTGTAAAAGACCCACTTCATCTTCTGGTTGTGGAAACAATTGTACGATAACGTTGTCGAAAAAATAAACTAGACTTATTGATCGAACTCGATGAAGGAGAATCGTCACAGAAGCCAAACAAGTGAAATCATAAACTCTCTTGCTTTCGTATCAATTGGAGCATCACAAAGCAACGTTTCAACTTTCAGGTCGCCCTCTAAATACAAGGGCATGAATAATGAACATGCTCTCCTAGAGGTCGTTTAGAAACGACTCATTACGTTAAATCTCATTATAGTGATTCGTCCGGAAATCGAGACGCCCAAAACTGAACAATATAAGGAGAGTCGAAGGCAAGATAGACCTTGTCAGGGAGAGACAGAGGTTATTCTACTTTACTTCATGCAAGCTTGTCGGTTCGGATTCGATTTATATGTTTAAACTAAAATAGATTTGTTAGGAATACTTTTGGTTTTGGATTTGTGGTTTCAAACTGGCTGGTCAGGGAGAGACGGAGGTCATTCTACTCTGCTTCATGCTAGCATGTCGATTTGGGTTTGGATTCTTGGTTTAAACCAAAACTTACTCGTTAAGAACACTTTTGGTTTCGGGTTTGCGGTTTCAAACCAACTGCACATTAGCTGTTTCAGTTTTGATTCAACCCAAGAAACCAATAGAACCCGAAACCCATTAGCCCCAAATAAATTGTGTTTGGTTTTCCTAAAACGATTTGATTTTGTTTCGGTTTATTCTAACCAAAATCGATAAGATTTTTGAATCAATTTTTGAAGGCTAACATTTCCGGTTTTCAAATTCATGGGTTTCGATTCGGTTACCCAAACCCGAATGGAATTAGCACCCCTAGCCCTAGCTAAGCTTCATCTCATAAGCACATTGTAGGATATTATTATTGGTGGTGGTGGTAGCTGCTGCACATTAATATATGTCCCGTTTGAAGCACTATTTCTTATGGTACTACCCTCTGCACCAAGCCAAACAGCAGACCCTTGATTAGCAGCACTGTTCTCTTATTTTAGTAATTAATTATGTCTTATGCTATCGCCTGCCCTCGTCCTTTTCAATGTCACTGACCTACTACGTCTTGAAGAATGAAGATTGAAGCAGAAGAAGAAGAACAAGCGCCCCCTTATATAAATAATAACGAAATAAAAAAAACTTTGCTCTTCCCCAACACTCCTTTCCCTTTCCGCTTCTCCCCACTCTCTCCCTCTCTCTCTTCCTCAGCACTCCTTCCCCGGCAGCAAAAAGCTTCGACGCAGACCTCCGGACAAAATCACCAAACTGTCCAGTCTCATCTTTCTCCGTTCGTCGCTGATTCCCCTGCTTCTTCGCGGGTTTTGGCTTTCATCGAGAATGGCCAAGTGTCACCACCACAACGTCGGATCTCTAGTCCTGGATCACTCCCCGACTTCCTCCGCCGCCGCCTCGGGGACTGGTAATTTCCGTCTCTGGACTGCCTTCTCCGCCGCTTCATTTCGCCGTAAAATCTTCGACGCCGTCAGCTGCGGAGGAAGCTCCCGATACGGTCACCACGATCTTGATGATGTCGCCGACGACATTTCCTCCACCGACACCGCCGTCTCAGCGAAGTCCGCCTTGGCGCCGTCGCCGGCGTTGGCGGCGTCGAGCGAGGGTGCAACTAGTGCTAGTAGCGAACAGAGGTGCGGGAAATCAGCTGTGAGGAGTGTGAAATCGGAGAGGCTGTCAGATCTCTTGAGCATTGCGGAGGTGGAGAGCGAGGCGGAGACGAAGAAGAAAGTCGAAGCGTTGGAGGAGCTGAAGCGAGCGGTGAAGGAATTGCAGTTGGAAGACGAAGAGGAGAAGAGGAAAGAAGCTGCTCGCCAGGTGAGGTTACTGGCGAAAGAAGATTCTGGAGCTAGAGTCACTTTGGCTATGTTAGGTGCGATTCCTCCTCTAGTCGGCATGCTCGATTTCGAAGACGCCGATTCTCAGATCGCCTCCCTCTATTCCTTGCTCAATCTCGGCATCGGGAACGACGCGTAAGTATCCTCGCCACTTTCTCCTTTCCTTTTCCTTTTCGCGCATTTTATGTCTGCCATTTTTCAATTGAGTGCTTGATCGATCGTAAGCACAGCAAATCTGCAAGTTATGGATTCCGCTAGACCAGCAGTCATTTTCTGCAAGTGGATTAAGACTCCGATGATAATTTGGGATAAATGTTCGCTTCAATTATACGTTTGTTTGATTTATCCCCGTCTGTTACAGTTGCAGATCGAGGACATCTCGTCTGGTCATTTTCTTGCATTTGTTGGTTTCTCTGCTTTCTTTATTTGCCGCTACAGTATGTTTCTTGAATCCTGACCTTTGGTTCACCGGTCATTTTCCATGTTATAATTAACAGCAGAGGACTGGATTTCTTGGATTGAAAAGGATCTATGGGGTTTGCGTTTCTTTGGCATTTAATTGTTTTCTTTGAATTACCGGCATAGGCGTTTCTTTTGGTATTTAGTGCAACTTTTCTGCTTAAACATCCTGGTGATTGGCTGGAAACTGACTTTAAGGGGGGGAATCGTTTTGACAAACTTTTCTTTTGCAGGAACAAAGCTGCCATTGTCAAAGCAGGGGCTGTCCACAAGATGCTAACGATTATATCATCTCCCAACGCTCCAAACCCATCAGTATCGGAGGCAATAGTAGCTAATTTCCTCGGATTGAGCGCACTGGACTCGAACAAACCGATCATCGGTGCTTCAGGTGCAATCCCATTCTTGTTAGGTACTTTAAAGGATTCAGATCACAAGACCAGCCCTCAAGCAAAACAAGATGCTCTCAGGGCTCTTTACAACCTCTCGATAGACCCATCGAACGTCACGTTTATTCTAGAAACGGATATGGTCCAGTATCTCCTCAATGTAGTGGGGGACATGGAAGTAAGTGAAAGGATCCTTTCAATTTTGAGCAATGTAGTATCAACCCCTGAAGGCAGAAAGGAAATCAGCAGCGCAAAGGACGCATTCCCGATTCTGGTCGACGTGTTGAACTGGACCGATTCGCCCGGTTGCCAAGAGAAGGCCTCTTACATTTTGATGGTGATGGCTCATAAAGCATATGGAGATCGACAGGCAATGATCGAGGCAGGGGTTGTGTTCTCCCTGCTTGAATTGACCCTTCTGGGGAGCGCTTTGGCACAGAAAAGGGCTTCGAGGATACTCGAGTGTCTCAGAATAGATAAAGGGAAGCAAGTTTCCGAGCATTATGGAGGCAATATGGGGCCGGCGGTTTCTGCTCCTATATGTGGCACGTCGTCATCTTCTGCTCAGGTCGACAACGATACCAACGAGTGCTTGTTGGAGGTGGAAGGCATGATGAGTGAGGAGAAGAAGGCAGTGAAGCAATTGGTGCAACAGAGTCTGCAGAACAACATGAGGAGGATTGCCAAGAGGGCCAATTTGCCTCAGGATTTCGCGCCCTCAGAGCACTTCAAGGCACTCACAGCAAGTTCAACCTCCAAGAGTTTACCTTTTTGATGCCGCAGCAGCAACATGAAGTTAGTATTCTTCTTACACCCTTGCTGCGCTTACATTTATTACTAGCATGCAATCCAGTTTTAATCTTCCATTAGTGAAGTCATTTTTTAGTAAAGATTCTTTCTCGACCGAATCTGGTAAACACTATGAAACAAGCATAGGAACACCAGCTAGAACCAAAGGACCCAAATCTGGAGCATTCCCTATAAACCAATATGTCAATTTTCAACATAGTACGTTTTGGCCTGCCTCTCTTTTGTCCCATTCTCTGATTCCTACTAAAGGGTAGGGAAGGTAAAAAAAAATGGAAACGAGCTGAAAACTACCCTTGCATTGGAAAGAAACAGGGACCATGCATCGCCAGCTTTCTCCTCTGGAGATAAAAATATAAAGCCCTTCCAATTATGTCGCCTTTTCCCCCCTTTGTTGCTTGGACCTACAATTACATCTACCTGCTTTCCCCGGCCCTTTTTTCACTCTGCTTTTTTGGCTACTCCCCCGAAACTAGATCGTGTTTGTGGGCAAATGACAATGCCCTCACTTCCTCTTCTCTTTTTTATTTAATCGGCACACCATAATATCAGGGATGCTTATGAGATGATGCATTACATGTGCACTAGCAGTGACCTTGGTTTGCTGATCCATTTATGCATTCTTCTTCTCTCCCTTTTGTTTATTCACTTACAGATCACGATAGACAGATCCGTGGAGGCTCTACTGAAAGAGGAGTGAGAGAAGGAGCGTGGGGAGGAAATGGCACATGAGCTTGCTTTCCAGAATTGCTTCGCAGAGCAGAGCACTCACTATTTTCTTCTCACCCCACCAAAACCACCACGACGATGCACATAATTTAGGTGACGAAAATTTCTAATATCTTTTTTATTTTTATTTTAGGTGACTATATAGTAATATCTACATGTTAGTGGTTAGCACTTAGCAGTAGTCATATTAGTGGTACGGTATGGTCCTTCTTTTATGTTTGCCCGCTGTAATGGTTCTGGTCTCCCCCTACTCCCTCCATGTTCTTTGTCGTGCAGCCTGTTCTTTACTGTTTTGTCCACCCTGTAAATATTCTGCCTCCCTCCTTAAACAATTTTCCATGGATCTGATCTAAACCCCGATTTTGTTGGAAGGGTTGAATAATTCTTCTTAGTTAATGGATAACTCACTGTAATCCACTAGTTTACTGAGGGGGACAGCTATGGAAGTGATTTCTTCACTCTCAGTACAGCGGTCCATTATTATAACCGATTGATCCAGCCTGTTGGTTTGCCGGTGGTTACCTGGAAACATTTGTGCTACAGTGCTGCTGACGTTGTTGGGTCGTCGCTAGTACTGTAACCAAATTCAGCTGCTAGTGAAATGTAGTGCTAAACTTATGTACCATTTATAGGTTTTAATTCTATGGGGAGCAGAGCAGGTAACTCCAGCAACGTATTGGTGTGTGTATTAAATGGTCATGATGGCAAACACCAAAGGATGATGGCATGGCAGGTTGATGGAGGTGTCTACCAATTGCAATTATTACTGCGTGCTGAAATCATCGATGGATGCAAATCAAAGTGATGAGTTATGAGCTTAGGTCTGCATACAAATTTGGCAATTTTTAGTAGGGTTTTGGGTTGGGACGGATGATTGAGTCAGCTCGTTAGGGGTATAATGCCACAGAAGAAGCAATTGCATTTATGGAGAATTGATCGCAGAGACGAGAGAGACAGGGAGGGATCGTAATGGTACGACAATGTTTGGTGTTCCTATTTTCGTGACTACAATTGAAAGGGTCGCAGGCGGTGGTGAAAGGACATGATTTTGGGCCCGTCTTGATTAAGCACGGATTTTGTATCAAAGTTCGATCATGACATAAGATGTTGTACTAAGAATTAAAATTGAAAAGGCCCAGTCCGTGGGCAATATTCAAAGATAGATGTAAATCGATGAGCTTTCTTTTGGATCTCCGTCCGAGTGATTCCACTAGTTTTCGACTAAATTTTGGTTGGATGGATGCATTTGAAAAACGGTATAAATTACGATTGTAATTGGTAAAAATATTATTTTATTTGTTATCATAAAATAACTCAAATTAACTTACGATTTGGAATAAAAAAGGAACATAAAACATAGAGTTTTTTTATAATTCTAAACGTGTCATCATTGATAGTTCTAACTTAAAGTAAAAAGAAAAAGAAATTCATGCAAGGACACCAATTCCTTTTAAAAAAATTATCGAAAGAGAATATATTAGCGGTAGGAATCCCATATTTATTTTTGCAGGAAAATGAACCAAACTTGTATTTTAGTTTCGGTAAATCAAAATGTAAGACTGAACGGTTGGCACCTTATTTGAGTGACTAGAATTATCAAATTTTGCGCTAACAAAACTACACAACTTATCATAAAATTGACTTCATGATATACATGTGTTATGTGGAACTACCGTAAGAAAGTTTTAGTTTTTTCGTGTTAGGAATGAAAATGCGTAAACAAATTTCATTTAGCCTTTAAAGTTTAAATATTGAGAATTGGAAATTCTATCTAAAGTTATTGAAATTAGATTTATGGAGACGAAATTGGTGGAGTCCAACAAAAACAGTAACAAGTCTGGTTTATTTTTATAATTGTAGGAATTATACCAAATACAAAATTGAAAAAAAAATGAATTCGCTTCTAATTCTTACTAAAGTCGATTTTTATCCAAACATACCATTCTATTTCTTAAATCAAACATTATCAAATATTACTTTGGTATACAATATTTTGATTAAATGTATGATGATGGTCCCCCAGCTCCCCATCAGGCCGTCACTAATAAAAAAAACAAGAGAGAGAAAAGGAAAGCGGGGATCACATTCACAATTTCACATGCAACGTGGGCACCGGACGGCAAACATCAAATCAATTACCCATCTTGGCTCTGTAAAGGAGAAATAAGGTAATCAGCCAAAGGAAAAACAGAAGGTAAACACCAACATAAAAGAAAGAAAGAAAAAAATGAAGAGGGAAGACGAACATGTGTTGGGTTTTAATGAGAGAAATCAATGAATCATTTTATGTATTTCTCTGTACAATTTTTTTTGCATTCATTCATGCATTGCAGGCAGATTTCGCAGCTTGCACACCAACTACCCAGACCCAGTCCCCCATCTCTCCGTATAAAACTCATAAAAAACAAAGCATCGGGTCCTTCCCTTCCTTCCCCACATCTGCTGTATCTTCTTCTAGTTACGGTATGGGAGGGGCGCGGTACCCGAGATCCGTGAATGGCGCCGAACCCTAACTGACAGTTGAAACGCAACGCCAGCAGCAATTATTATAATAATATCCCTCCATCTCCATTACACTTCCATTGATAACAAGTTCACTCCTTCAAATTTGCATCTCTCCAACATTTTACCCCTTTTTTATATATCTTGTTAACTAATCACACTATGACCAATGAGCCCCAACCCCAAGTGTGTAGTGGGGGTTATAGCATGAACTCATTGGAATGTAACGATGTTATCCTTGGGTTACAAAAAAAACACAATTAAACTTTCGGAATTAGATGCGCTAGTTGTGGGTTACAATGTCGCAATTTTTGTGCAACCATTTTATTTCACCTGTCATAGATATTGCAAAATCGAACAATCAGATACCCGAAATAACAAATTTTTGCAGGCCCACAATTTTGATACAACGATGAGATAAAGATGATAGGTGACCATGAATTGAACCACCAATTAGAGGGTTTTTTCTTTTTAGTGCACTAGGCGTAGCATCCAATGGTTAGCACTTGTCAATTGTCATAGCATCTTATTTGATTTCTCCAAATGACCAGTTGAGCATCAGCTCGAAAAAGCATACTTTAGTAAGATAATGAGCTAAACACCATCTTCACAACATTCCTTTAACGTCTTCAATTTCATCGTGAACAATTTCTATGCAATATCAACACACAAATCCAATTATACGATCTTCCGAATAACAACCAAGGATCGTTTTGGATGATAAAGTTCTAGAGGGCACTAGTTTGTAAATAATCCAAATAGTACGGTTCAAAGGGAATGGGGTAGTGGGGCCGGCCGGCTGATATCAATCAATATAAAAGTTGTTGGGGAAGCGGGGACGGGAAATCGACATCACCGTCACCACCGTCATATTGACGGCAGACAGCCACAGCCCCCCGCCGGCGCATTTACACACTGATTTTGCGTCAACCCGTAAGCGGGCCCCAATCAATTTGTCTCCCTCACCGACACTCAAAAGTTAAAAACGGGCCTATAAATGGGCTCCGTAAAGAAAGAATGAGCCCCGGATCCGGGGATTCCGGTTGGGCCTCAGCTTAAAAGGCTCTTTATTAGCCATGCTAGACAAGCCCATTGGGCTCAAAGCAAGAAAGCACTACAAACTGGAGATCGAAGAGATTCCTCCAGTCCATCCAATGCATACACCCGCCGCTCCAATACCTCAACATCCATAAACTCCTCCTCCTCCAAAGCCCAACCTGCCCTTCCAATCCACTCAAACGACGGCTTCTTACTCAATCTCAAAACACACACCAAAACGACGTCGCGTTCGTCGTCGCGGTACCCAGCTATCACCGCGCAAATCATGCCATCCCCCAAGTCAACGACGCCGTAGGGATACTCCTCCGGGTAGAAATCACCGCCGGAATCACTGCTCTCTCCAAACAACGCAGTCTCCAGGCTCTGATACGCCATCACGCGCCCTTCTCCTTCGCCGCCGTCCACGAGAAACGCGCCCACATACTTGTTCTCCCCAATCACATCGAAATCCCCTTGATACGCCACGAATACGTGGAGGGGATTGCCTTTTTTGCCCTTGATCGCGTCGAATCCGGGGCAGTTTCTCAGCGTCCTTCCACCCATGAGCTGGAAATCGTCGGCGGAGGCGGAGGATGGAGATGGAGGAGATCGGACCAAAGGTTCGCGATTGGGGATCCACGAATTGGTGATTGGGTCGAAGAAGAAATACACGGCGGGTTCTTCGTGGCCGCCGACGCGTTGGACGAAAAGCTTGTGGGCGAGAACGAAGTAGAGCGCGATGGTGGAATTCGGGGGCAGAGGAGGCGGGGGCAGCGAATTCCAGTTCCAGGTTTTTGAATCGACGGAGAATTCCAGAACCTCGTGGCACGACGGCGGTGATTTTAGGTCGCGATCGAGGACGTGGATCTTGCCGGCGATGTTTTCGGCGATTGGATTGACTTTTGGGGATTTCAATCTGTGGGGGATGGCGGTCGGGATCAGGAGCTGGCTCGTTCGGGGGCAGAGTTCGTATACGTAAGCGCCGGGGTTGGGGTCGTCGGAGCTGTGGCCGCCGCCGCCGCCGACTAAATAGATTTTGGAGTCTAGTTGGAAAGCTGCCATGTCTGGAGGGAAACGGCCGCCGTCGTGGATGTCGACGTCGCAGACGACTTTCGGCGTTACGACGTCGTCTATGTTTGTCTGGCGAACGGGGGACTCGAAGACGTTAATAACCCCCCAAATGCGAGTTTTCAGCTGCAAGTACAGAGTGAGCTCCTCTTTCGCCGTCTCTTCCCTTCCGGCGGCGACGGTGCCAGCTTTCCCGTGTTCCGTTTCCATGGTTGTCTGGATTGAAGTCGAGAGAATCAATGGACTTCTATATAACAATTAACAGGTGAATCGTTTTCTTCTCAGAAATAATAAAGAAAAAGAACAAGCTCTTGACCGGCGTCTACGTACAATGCACACCAAAAAAAAAAATCAGGTGACAATTGGAAATCTTCTTCTTTTTTTTTTTTAGAAAGACGGACGTCAAAGCGTCCTAGTTCATATTAATAATATTTCGATCCATGGAGATAGCCATGGAGTCGTACAACAGCCAATTGCCAAGAATCGGATTGTACACATCGAAGGGATGTGTACCAAAATTAGACAGATGACCCTTGCTAGCCAAATAATCGGCAGCAGAATTCCCCTCTCTATACACATGGGAGATAGTCACTTCCCACTCAAAATCAAGCAGTTTTCCTATTCGAGCAGCAATGAGACCATGGCGATGGTCCGTATCCAGGTGGTTTTGCAGAATGCTGATTGCAGTAAGCGAATCCAGCTTTAGTTCAACCCTGCGGAAGCCTTGCTCCCAAGCTCTTCGGAGACCAATTTCCGCCCCTTTCAGTTCTGCCATGGTGATAGTGCATCTCCCCAAGTTGCAGACGAAAGCATCCAAGCAGCGTCCGAGGTGGTCTCGGATTAAACCTCCTGCAGCAGCATTTCCTGAGGTTTGAAGCACTGATCCATCCGTTTGGACTTGGATCCAGCTCTCCCTAGGTGGTGTCCACGCAACAGGTATGGAGATGTACTTGTTCTTTGGCAGCATGATACTTCTTTCATCATTACTCCTAGCTTGCTGGAAAACACGGATCCACGAGCAAATCTTGTTGACAAGTCCGGTTTCTGAAAAACGTTTCCCATCGAGCACCTCCTCGTTCCTCTGTTTCCAAGTCATCCAGCAGGTAATCCCAAATTCGATTCCCTTATCATCGTCCTTAAGATTATCTATCATCCATTGTTTGAAGCTTCTCAAGTCATTTGGTTGATGTCCAATCTTGAAGAAAGCTCTCACACCCTCAGTCGTTCTGCAGTGTCGAAGAATGTGTTCACATGTTTCAAGCTCTCCCGTACAGGATTTGCAGTTCCCATCTGATGTCATTTGTCTGATTGCTCTTTCATGATTGGTGAGCAATCTGTTGTGCAAAACCAGCCAGAGAAAGTGTTTAACTCTGCTGGGCCCTTTCCACTTCCAAATTTCTTCCCAACCTGGTTGAGGCTCCTTCCCAGTCTCGTTAGCAGCAAGCAAGTAGGCAGATTTGAATCTGAATCTACCATCTCTTTCAAGCCCCCAGATTGTAGTGTCCTCTCCCATCCCTTGGATTGGCGCT